GTGGGAGAGAAAATACCAACATCAACAACGTGACAAAAAGAAACTAATAATAAAAGGGAAGAAACAGAAACAAGAAACAAAGTATTAACAATTTTACTAGCCAAGATTGAAGAAGTTTTGCGGCACAAAGAACATTACTTAATTTTTAGAAAAAGAAGAAACTGATAATACAGATATATATGCACATAATATTTTGGAAGCACACTCTTCATAAGTGAAAAACGGTAGTGTCAGTTTTTCCCTGCATTTGTTTCGCTTATTGTATCAAAATCAGTTTTGAAGTTTCAAAACATTCTGGATTTTGAAAATGAAAGACGCTAAATAATATACAAAAAAGATGTTAAATCTTCTCACATACAAATGATTCAAAACGTCAAATTGTTATTCAGTGCTAAACATTGCTGTTAGGGGCAATTTTTCATGAGTGTTTAAAATATTTTTTTTAAATTTGGATATCAATGTTTGTATTTATTAATGAAAAATGAAAATACATAATGAATCGAAGCGACTACGAAAATCTCTGCAAAATAAAGACTTCTTAAAAGAATGTAAATTCTATGGTTACTTAAAGTGGCATTTTCACATAAGTAAAAAACTTGTATGCTTGAAACGTTCTTTGAAACAACGTCAGCATCCTTGTTTTATTGGGACGTCGTGTAACGCTCAGTGGTACCAATACCGTGCGCAACGTCTAGCAATTAAAGTCAAATTTCAGTAATCGCTTTTTCCTAGTGGACTTTGGTATTCTAAATTTGAGAGCATTTGTTCTTCATTATTCAAAATCAGGTCGAGGGTATGGGGTGTGTTGGTACCTCTCCATCTTGTTGTTCTAGTATCATGTTGAGATAGGAAATTTTCTTGTAGATTCTCTGGAAATTTGTACTCATTACTTTCCGTACTATCACCTGGTGAATTCTAACTGTCCCAATTTATTTCAGGAAAATTATAGTCTCCCATTATTAAAATGTGTGAGTAACCTTTACTACAAGCTTCAGTAGTAAGCATATTTAATTGATTAATGTAGTCATGTGATCTGTTTGATGGTGATCTATATATTAGGCCTAATAATAGCTGGTCTGACTGATTTAATTTAATCTTTATAAATAAGTTTTCTTGGAATTCTGCATTCATTTGGACCTGTGATGCGTCCAATTGTTTATCTATATACAATAAAAGCCCTCTGCCTGTGTCATTGTCTAGATTTTTACCAAACATATTGTAATCGGATACATCGGCTAAAGAATATTCTGAAATTCCTGGTTGGTATCTGTTATTTTTTGGTTTAACCTCTGTAATACCAATTATTTTTGGTTTATCATCTCTTGTTCTTACTATTAATTCTGGCAGCTTGTTAAATAACTGGTCTGCGTTCGTGTATATACAGCTTAATTTGGGTAAAACTGTAAAATTATCTACATTTACACTTTTAAAAACCTTTTTACCATTAAAATTATTTACATTCTCGTTTCCTCTTTTCTGTTTTAGTAGTCTAGCTTTCTTAGTTTGACAACCTTCCTTGCCCAGGGAGGGCCCCTTACTTTAAAGTGGTAGTCCCTCCGAAACCTCTTCTTCGGTTTGTTTCCTCGCTTGATCCCACAACTTTTTCTCTTGTTCTCTTTCTGCTTGGGTGAGGTCGTTACTCACTCCGACTTTTGCATATTTTGGATTAGCTTTTATATAGTGTATGTTTTTAAATATGGTAATCTTTGGTTCTACACTTGGTAATTTTACTAACATTGGTCTATTTAGTTTTTCGTTGTTAAATTTTCCTAGCCTTTTAACAGTTTTCAAATTTAACACCTATGATCCACACTAATAAACGACAACCACTGAACAACAGGCTCCTGACTTAGGACAGGTGCATAAAAATGCAGCGGGTTTAAACGTTTTAACAGGTGCCAACCTTCATCCTAACCTGAGACAGTAGTGCAACATTACAACATAAAAAGACACACTATAAAATATCAATTGAAATGGCTTAACTCGAACAAAAAGATATTTAAACAAAAACAAGTAAACATACACTGAGCGAATAAGTTTCATCTATGACACAATATAAATACAATAGTAAAACGTAGGTGCCTGTATAACATAGACGTTACAGGTAGTAGTAAAAAATTAACACTTTATCAGGATTTTGTATCCTTTTCCCGATTGTGGTATTTTGACTTGAGTGTGGATTTGCATAAGGGTAACGTATGCATAGCATAAAACTCTTACCCTGTCGACTCACCTATTTGGAGTTCAGTATTTGGTTGTTATTTTGAATTGTCTTCCTCATCGATTTATGAGATTTAGACATTGGTTAACGGTTATCGAAGTGGTCGCTAAATGAGAACAATGTTTAATGTGTTTACCTAAAACACTGTTAAAGCTAAACGATGACGAGCACATGAAAGAGAGGAGAAAATGCATAAACAAACAGGCTGCAAAAAAGTAAAAGAAACTACCATCCTTTCTTGTCGAGATTAAACTTTGAAGATAAATGAATATCAGCAAATATATAAGTGTGCTCGCACTATATGATTATCATAAATGATGATAGTATTATACAAAATCATTTCCAACAGTTGTCAGCTTAACAGGTAAGGTTGATTGATTCTTGCTTGTTTATTGTTTAGTGGCAATTTTTTCATTCATATTCTGGACGAGATCACATTAACAATTTATACAGTAGGTAGGTCCTATAAAGTAGGTACATCGTGATGAGGGAGGGAAATTTGGACAGCCACTGGAAAAAAGGGCATGTTATATAGGGCAGAAATTCTGGCACCTCCAGACCCTTTATATAGTTGTTGAAAGGGTTCGGTTTCCGCACAGTTAAATAGGCGCCCAACTATAGCTAAAACTAAAAGTTTTACTGCCAGACTGGAGAAGTCCATCGATATCATGATCATATTTCTATACCCCAGTCAATCCTTGGGTTTCATCAGAGAAGGAATAACACTTTTATTTTGGTTGTTTTTAAACTTCATAGCCTAAGGAAATAGACTTGTCAAACGTAAAGTAGAGGCCGGCAAACAATGTGTTCCAAGAAAAGAAATTATTTCCTCAAACCATTAAACCAATCATTTGATTCATGTTAAATAAGAGGTTAGAAATGAAAGTTTATGAACCTTAAATATGATTATTCCATATCTACCAGAATAATCGAAAATGGTCATTCGAATATCTGAGCGAGAAAATCCGATCTTTCCTCACACCTCAAGTTCATGCGATTCATATTAGGATAAGATCAAATTTTCTACTTAGGTCTTCGGGACTAAGTTGAACAAATTAAGGGTTAAGGATTAGGATAATTTGTACTTAAAAAAAGACTTCATTTAGTGCCGTGTGAAGACAGTAGAGTGCCTACTCGTGCTTCATGTTTGTGCTCTTATAATATACAAGATAATGGAGTGTGCGTACGAGCGAGAACTTATCAGTGTTCATTACTTTAGGAATATTTGTCTAAAACTCATATTTCACTATTCAGCCCCATTCTTCTATTGAGTCAGACGTAAGGCGCTACCCTGATATACCCTGTCTTTTGTATTTGTCCTCTGGTTTTGTAGTTTACGTATTTTGTCGGGTACTTGATGGCGGATAGCGGTTGACGTCTTTAGCCGCACAGTTTTACCCTTTTACTTGATTCAATTCCTGTGTGCTGGTTCATATTCTGGACGCCAACCTTTGCATCTTTCAACTGAAAATACGGATAACAAATTGAAACTCTGAAATGGCAAAATCTTAATACCAAACTTGTGCTTATTGCTATGTGTTGGTTTATTTCACATTGGCTAGAGGTAGGGGAGGAGGGGAGATCTCACAAAACATGTTTAACCCCGCCGCTTTTTTGCTCCAGTCCCAAGTCAGGAACCTCTAGCCTTTATTAATCTTGTATGTTTTTTTTTAATTTTAAATCATTTATATGTTTCGGAGATTAGTGTGACGTTCATTTTCGCTGAACTAGTATACATTATTGTTTAGGGGCCAGCTGAAGCCCGCTTCCGTGTGTGGGATTTTCTCTTTGTGTTGAAGACCCATTGGTGGCCTTAGGCTGTTTTCTGCTCTTTGGTCGGGTTGTTGTCTCTTTGACACATTTCCCGTTTTCATTCCCAATTTTATTCATGTATATATGTAGGACTCGGAGGTGCGATGTGGACGCTGAAGTGCGATGGTCACGCTGAAGTGCGATGGTCTTCGCCAAAGTGTGATGGTTCTTTTGCTAATGGTGATGCGTTATGGCTAGTTTAAAATCTACAGATGTGCAATGTTTTTGAGAAGTAGATTTGTTTGTTAGTTAGTATATATAAATTTTCATTCATTATTGTCCATAAACATTTATGATATTTTGGCATGGATGATATGTATGTGTATTTTTGAAATAAAAGAATCGTTCCTGCAACATGCCTGTTTACAAAACAAATTAGGATTTCTAGTATGTGATAATCGTATACTGTTAAAATATTATATTAAGTTCCCTGTTAATATTATAGTTTCATGTACATCTCTTTAAACGGTGTTTGCAAAATTTGAAATACAGAAATACATTTCATATTATGTGTGTCCTCGGTTGCAGTTTCATGCTAAATAAGAGACCATCCTATTTATTTTACTGCATACTCTCGACAATTTTACTTACAACCTGAAACTGGCTGCTTCCAACAAGCAATTGACTTCTAAATCGACATGTGAACATGAAAATCTTTGAAAATATATAATTTATGTAATCCACTTCAGCGTAACCACAAACGCACTTCCACGTAGTTATAAATACAATAGCGTCACAATGCCACCATCGCACTTCAGAGTCCTACATGTATATTCGGTAAATCTAAGATTCATCTTTTTAATAGACCTCTCATTGTTGGCGACAATTTGTTTGTTGAGCATGTCTCGAGAAACTACTTTAATTTAAGTCGAAGCTGCTGGGGTTAGTACAAGTAACTATTTGAAAGATTTGAAAAGGTGGTAAAACTTTACGATTGAATACAATCATGACAAAGACAAAACACTCATTTTACAATGTATTCCTATTATAATGTATGTCAAAACAAAGATACTAGTAAAGAAAAATCTTTTCAAAAGGGTTTTAGTTGACATATTTAATGCACCTATCTAACTTGCGGCTGAGTAATATGCTATTCGAAGACTTATATATATGTACTGTCTGTTTCGTCCGTTCGATAAAAATCCGTACGGTGCTATTGAATCGAGATCAAAGGTCAAGATTTGACATTGCAAAATATTCCAAATATTTTACAAATTAAAGTACCGTTTTTACCCATTTATAATAAAATAATTCAAGAAAACGCATGATTTCGAATGAAACTAACATCAACAGTCCATCATGCAACTTTTACAAAAAATACTCTTGTCAAAATTATTGATTGATGTTGCTTGCTTGACGTCCAGTGTTGTTAAAATGTCAATATTGATGTGAAAGTATCATCAAAGATACCGGTCTTATAATTGTGTACGCCAGACGCGCGTTTCGTCAACAAAATACATTATTAAGTGACAATAGAAAAAAAGAGTTAAAAGGCCAAATAAAGTTGAAGAGCATTGATGATCCAAAATTCCGACAGATTTGGTTCAATACAGCCAAGATAATCTATCATCGTACTCAAATATAACCCTTTAACGTTAATTTTATTACAAATAAAGATTCTCTCTAAGAATATCAATCTTTATCAAAATAACTCAGAATCCAAAATACTATTTTCAAAACATGACCACCCAAGACATCCAAAAAAACACGAATACACAAGTAACATTTCAAAAAATATTTAAGTATAGAACGCGATAACATACACTTTCAATTCTCTTAGATATTCAAAATATTTTGCCATAGACTGCCGACGTCTGTTGAGTTGACAGTGAGACCTTCCTGGTATTTTAGACGTCGTTAAATTGGACCTATAGTTAGATAACTTACGGTTACAAGTGCAATCAAGTGGAATTCATCTAAAATGTTTGTCTTCGATGTGAAAGGAGGGCTCAAAGTAAAAGCTTGATATTCAGAGTATATTAAAAAAAAAGACTACCAACGTGACTACTACATCCCACAACATACCGGTAAATTTAAACCCAGTCAATATATAAATAAATCCACAGTATGTTTTTGTCCAATTAGATGTACTGCAAAGACATACGCTTTACATATCTTTCATTCGGGTTGGCTATAGATTACAGTATATTAAGTATAATTCAAAAGTAGAATAAAACACGTCCTGTTTAAAGGAAGTTTAACTCTTTTTAAAAGATATCATCTTCTTTAATTATAATGGAAAAGTTACTGAAAACATTTATATTTTTAAAGTGTAAAATATTCAAACTAATGCATACCAAATATGTTTATTCTATCATGGCATTCCAAAACACATATTTGTTGAAGTAATGCGAATTATTCTCCTCATTGGTTAAACAAAAGAACCAATTCCGTTATGTTTCTTCGCTTAACAGGATGAGTTGAAAGATTCTCGATTTTGTTTAATATATTCGTGACTTGTCAATTGAAGAAAGCTTGCAACCCCTCCCCCAGATTTTTGAAAGACCACAATTACGTGCTTAGGATGTTTCACACTCGAAGACCTACGAAACGTATCTTTAACAGATTTGCTTTGAGTTTTGGGGTGAACCGATTCTCTTAACTATGTTTTAGAATATCCTTCTAAAATGCTTCGACTTAAAGGTCTCAAGGTGCGAAATAGTGTTTCAAGTTACTTAAAACCTCCGGCCGCAATGTTTTCAAAATGAACGTCGCGTATTTCTGTATTAAAACCCAGCAGGTGTCTGATTTTTCCAAGTTTAACTTTCAACGTTCGAATACTAGATATTTAAAACTGCCGTGTCATGTGAATCAAGAAGTATTTTAAGTACATTTAAATTTTTACACATGGTCGACATCATCTAAATCAAAATCCATGAAATCTTGAGAAATTCCTGTTCTTGATTCTTTTTCTGTATCTTCAATTATTTCTACATCCTCTGATGTGTGTTGGTATACAGTCTTCCTTTTAGATCCACGTTCGTCAATATTCAAACTCAGTTTTCTTTTGTCCGATCTTATTTTCGCAAAGTTTTTATTTTCCATCATCTTATGTAAAAAAACTAAAAACCTGTCGACATCGTCTGATGAATTTAGAAGTTTCCTGGCTAACGAAGCAATGTCGCTGTCACTCTTTTCAACTAAATTATGTTTCCAGGTCTTGAAGTTCTTTCTTGAAATCGGTATTTCTAGATTTTGCTTGATTTCTGGAGACAATTCGTTTGCAACTTTATTGATTACCTTTTCCAATGCCCCCTCAATCCAAATAAATGTTCTTGCCTCGTCACAATTGGATGTAAATCTTTTGACTGCATCTGAATTTGATATAAAATCTGAATTGTCTTTGAATTCCTCGTCGAATTCGTTGTATTGTACTCTCAGTGTAAATTTCGTGTCGGATCCTTTCTTTGGTGACTTTTTAGCCGCGTCGAAATCATAGACTATGCAACAGTCTCGTTGTAATTTATCACAGAATTTCATTTTTGTTGGTCCACTTCCTTTTCCATCCACAAGTTCTGCGACATGGATAGTTGATATGTATTTTCTAAACTCTTCATCATTGGTTGTCTTGTTTTTACCAATAATTTCGTCGATCATTTCATTTATCAGGACATTGAAAATTGCCTCAATAAAGATTTTATCGGTAAATCCTTCTACGAATAAAATGCGTTCACAAAATAAAAGATTCTTCATTTCTTCGATTCTTCCGTATTTCCTATATCCGTCAGGGAATTTCAGGACAGAGTGAGAAATGTTTCCTCTTTGGATACTTTTAGAGAATATATATGTTCTGTCAAGAACTGCATGATCCAAAATGGTAGGGTTGTGGGATATAACCAGAACGGTCTTATTCTTCACTTTCTTTAGAACCCAGTCTCGCATTTTTGTTATCATTTGTGGGTGCATTCCTCTGTCTGGTTCTTCTAGTGTAATTGTGAACAAGTTGCTTTGAGACAGCAGAAGAATTAACTGTTCAGCCTCTATTATGCCCTCAGGAGTTTTTAAGAGGGGTTTTTTAATTGTGGTTGCTCCGTCGTCATTATACATAAAAACATCGCGTCCCTCTTTTTTAAAACTATATGGAGCAACTAGCAGCTTGTGATAGTCTGAGAGTAGATTTGTGTCAGTATCATCACTGTCTAGGAGACTATTTATGATTTCTGCTCTTTGACATGCGATTGTATAGTTCTGCTCTCTCTCTGTATGACAATTTTTTTCACTTCTAGTCCACTGTAAAGGACCTATGGATCGCATTGGCAGGACGCTCACATAACCATCTTCAAGGCTCTTGAATATCTTGTCAACTTTTCCTTGATTGCAATTGCTTTCATCGGAGATAGCATTTTGCTTTATTTCATCAAAAAGAGACTGGATACTTTTATGATAGGTATCATGGTTGCCTTCTCTAATTACATCTCTTATAGATTCTGATGCTTTATCATTGTTATAATACAAATATATTGGGGAATGAAGTTGATCTGCATCACATGAATACAAGCCTTCCAATCTAGTTACTAATATTTCAAAGCCTTTTAATTCTTTCATAATTACTAACACTTTATAATAGTAATAAAGTTTCGGTTGATCACTTTTGTCTACTTTCTCCACAAATAGGCCAGAGACGATATCAGTTAGATTGCAAGAAAAGTGCGGCTTGATCTCATTTGGAATTTGAAAATGACAGACGGTATATGCCATACTAATATCAACAGTGAACGAGGAAGACGTTGTATTTATACCATTTGACAAACTTCTACGTATCAGTTCAAAAATGGCTGATTTACCAGTCGAGTTTCCACCAATTATGTAAGTAGTACCATCTTTAAATTCTAATCTTTGTGGGTTGATAAAATGTATGAAATTGTGTGTGGATATGGATCGTAACATATTTCTGAAAAGACATTATTACAATTAAAATTGCTACATAAGAAATAAGGATTGCTGTTTGAAAATGAAATGATCTTATATCTCAAAATCTCAAAACAAAATCATAGCATAAGAAAAAAACTGTATAAGTTACACCCGGGACAAAACCAAAACAAATAAAAGAATTAAGAATAAGAAGGTATGTTAGTACGAGAGTTTTTATCGAAGCAAATCGTAACTTGTTTTTGTCATGTTCGATGCAATTTTCTTGATGTATCTGCATTAATTTGAGCATAAATTTGATACAACCAAACAGAAAGTTAATGGGTATAATATATCCTAATTAGTATTCAACAAAAGATGCATTGGGTGCGATATAAATGAACGGAATTCAGTAGTAGTTGTTTGAAACTGTAGCTTTTTACATCCTTGTTATTTGGTTTTCGGTGGATGATTGTCTCATTCATTGGCAATAAAATAATACATTGCCTAGTTTTTGTACTTAAACGGGGCAAAAACTCTAAAAACAATATTTTTCATGTCTTTGTCAAAGGAAGGCGTATGATAAGAGCCTCAACTAATCCTTGAAATATCAAAAAAGTAAAATGTTGTAATCCTTTCACATAATCTACCCTCTTACAGACAGAAATCTCAGTTTTGGTGTCTCTTTGACATCATAAAAATTTTGAAATCGACATATTTGACCTAAAATTACTTGAAGGACTAACTACCCATCCTTAGTTCTCCTGAATCGACCTTCGCCACAATCATGTTTAGGGTATCTAGTTGAACGACTGTGTCAAATGATCCCGCATATCAACGATCATGGCCACGAAAGATAAAATGCAAGTATTTTCTATCAGCTTGAAAATCGTTCAAGACGGAGAAAATTAAAGGATTTATTGCCCTTACATAGATTTTTACCTACATTTTGAGACTGTTCATACACAAAATTTCCCCCTAAATTACGATTTAACCCATCTTTTGTGTTTTTGAGGACACTACAGTAGAAAGAGGCAAATTGTAAAAAGCGAAAATTAACAGCAAATCAATATCTTAAATATGTCAACATGGATAAAATCACAAGCCGGTTTCCTCAAGGGTAATTTACACTTTAATGGCGATTTTTATCCAGTTTTTCTAAAAGGTATTTTTATGGAGACTATCGTAGAAAGAAAGATGGTATATATAGCACAATTGATACTAAGACAATATCTACATGCAAAAAACATCAAACAACTCCTTGCAGTTATTGCTCTTGACCGACGATGTTTAATCAGTTTTGTGTTTTTTAGTGGAACAATTGTAGCTAGAAATAAGCTGTACATAGCAAAAGGGATCTGCAGGACAAGATCTGCAAATAAGTTAGCATGTCTGAAATCGTCAGCTGAGTCTTTATGTGTGTTAGCCCTTGAACGACGATTTGTACCTATTTTATGCTTTAGCAGAAACTATAGTAGACACCGGCGCACTGCAAGAGCAAAAATGATAAGCAAAATAAGATTTACAAATGAGTTAACCTGACCTAAATATAAGTCGACTGCTTATAGGTGTTATTGCCCTTTTTGTCGATTTTGTCGGATACTAAAGAAAATATCTTTATTTTCATTGCATAAATTCTTTACAAAAATTACAGGTAACCAATTAAGGCTGATTAAAAATTCTAGTATTATAAAAGAATTAAAAAAACTGCTGAACTCCAAGATAAATTCAAAACGGAAGAAGTCCATCAAACCTAACCAAATCAAACGCTCGATTATATCAACCAAATACCCCCCCCCCCCCCCCCCCCCCTCTCCCCTCTAAATTATGAATGAATAAATGCCTTATCCGAAAATATGTTATTTAACATTTTACCTCCTTGTATAGAACACCTTGAAGCAAAACATATTGTAGAGTGAGTTCTTGGTTAATATCTAAATAATAAAGATAACAAATTAAGGCTATTTTTGCAGTTTTGCATTTTTAATGTAAGACGTTTTAGCCCTATTGAATATATGTAAGACACTATTCAAAAAATAAATTCGTGTATATCAGAATTGTGACATCTGAAAGACTAATTTGATAAAGTCATGATACTTTTTTTCAAATATAGGGGCCTAAAAAAGAGCTTCTTATACAATAACCTTAATGTAATGTATTGCCATAGAATTTAACAATATGTAATAAACCATGAAAAAAAGAGTTGGTGGATTACACTTGAGAGGCTTTCAATCAATCACCAGTGGTATTGACTCAATATTAGTAAACATAAAACGTACCAAATTGCCTTTAGAAAATCTAGAAGGAACAGAAATTGGTCTAGACAATGAACTACACATACTTCAACCTGAAGGTCCTAATGGCCTGAATAGCTCGAATGTTAAAAATATGCCATATTGCTATTTTTCAGACATTATTTGAATTTTACACTTATTCTGTAATAGACTGTATAGCAATAAAAGCATGTACTGACTTTGTGTCATGGGTGGATACCCCATATCCTTTTCTATTGTTCAGTGCATAAACGCTAAAATAGATACTGATGGCTTTAAATTTATATGCTATGATATTAACTTTGCTTTGTGTCTATGATCTTATTTGTGCTTTTGTGCATTTGCTTTCATTATGCTGCATGCCTTTATGGTGTTGTTTGAATAGTGCTTGTACGTGTATATGCGGTTGCTGGAGCTCATGTTACTTTTTGTTCTATATATACGTGCCGAACTTAAATAAAATGTTCTTACTTACTTACTTAGATGCCTTAAGGTTCATGCAAGCAAACATTTGTTGGGGTTAGTCTTTTGGTTTCAGAGAACATGAATTGTGAGAGAAAAATCACGACAGTCAACGACGAGCAACAACTGGCGCAAAGTGTTGGTATTATAGGTATCAGGTCCAAATGAGATAAGTTTAAAAAGAAATAGTCAAATCAATTAATAACATGGACGTCGAAATCAGATCAAGACCATACAGCACGTTAATTAACATGCATAAAAACGAAAATGGAGTAATTATATTGGGACTGTTTAAAATCATACTTACCCCTCAAAACTTAGGTCCGAAATACATTAATTTGACTGTTCATGACTCGATGCACTATTTAAATGTCACTACTTCTTGGAATGCTGGCCAAGGAAGTGGAAGTTAGATAATATGATTGATTGTATTATAAATAGAATGAAATATTGATTTTTTTTTATTGTATTACGAGTATCAAATATGGTGTTTATTCCTTAAATTCTATAATTACGAAATGAAATGTGTCCGATATATCTTAATTCATTCTGCGAGTTCTACAGTAAACCATGAAATAGGCATATCAATTAATAATGAAAAATACCACATTGATATGCCACAATTCAAAGTAAAATAAAATATATATCTTAAAACTAATGTACTAACCTCACTATTTGGATAAATAGAACATAAGAAGTTATTCCCGTCTACCTGGTCTAAATAGATTTAGATAGCCCAAAATCATGACAAGCCGCTTTACTATTCATTCTAACTTCAAGATATCTAATAAACTTTATAAGATATGTCATATAGTTTATAAGATATCTTATATAGTTTATGATATCTCACATAATTTTCTTTATATAATATCTTATACATTATATGAAATATCTTATAAATTATATGAGATACCTTATAAACTATATAAGATATATATCTGATAGAATATATGAGATATCTTTTAAAGTATATAAGATATCTTATATAAAAAAATATCTATAAGATATCTTATATACTTTATCAGATATCTTTGAATTATGATATCTTGTATTATATATAAAATACCATATATAAAATATAAGATATTTCATATGATATATAAGATATCTTGTTTGTGCTTTTGATTTTGTCATTTGATTAGGGACTTTCCGTTTTGAATTTTCCTCGGAGTTCAGTATTTTTGTGATTTAACTTTTTATAAAAACTAGATTATATACTTTTTAAGATATCTTATAAACTTTTGAAAATATCTAGGCGTGAGATGGGGGTGGTGACGGTTCAACAAAAGACTTGCTTCACAATATGAAATAGCGTCCTTTTTTCCAAACAGAATTAGCAAAGGCTGAATTATTGCCATGTGTATTTCTTCTAAATAGGGAACAACCAATAAGAGTAGCACATGCAGAAACGAGCTTCTTTACACGAATAAACCACGCCTAAATTATATGTAAGCTTACACTTATTCATGTCAATCATTCCGATATCCTAGAGGTGAAAGACCTTGAATGACCCAAGATTCCATGTGCATTTGATACTCTATAACTAGATGAAGACCAGCTTAATGACCGGAATCTATCTTTCATACTATGCATGTGCCTATCGAAATACTAATTATAAATAGTGATACACCAAAGTTTTGACTGACCGCAAATGTATAGAAATCTGTAGAGAACATTATCTGTGTGTGAGTTAAAACTAAAAAAATATATATTTATATCATTGATAAAGACCGCGAAAATAATAAATATGTCTCATTGGCGACTACTTATTTATAATAATGGACATCGCTGCTGACAAGAAGTTTATTAAAAAAACAAAATTTATTCAATATACATACATATGTAATATGTTTTGGTCCTTGGGAATCATCTGAGCTATGTATAAATTTTGACCGGTCCCTGCCTAAAAAGTTTATTTGCATTCATGAGAAGCAAACTTCAAAGGCAGTGACACACCCGTCAATTCGAAGGAACACAGCATGGCTCCCTATTGCTTTAGACAGCACAGCATGGCTGCCGAATGAGTTGAACTGACGGTGGTGATGAGACAACTGAATTATGGGGGAATAAATGAAATTTGGTTTATACTTAAATATCTCTTTAAAGCCAAAAAATGGCAAATAGAGTTATTTATTTTAAAAAGTTTAATATCAACGTTGTATTTTAAAATCAGCGCGAGCTCGAGACTTGGTAAAAATTCACCTAGAGGCGTTTCTAGAGGATAATGATATCCTGACTTCCAATTACCTTTATTTTATCTATAAAATTTTATAAAAGATACTTAGTTCTACTATTAAATCAAGGAAAATGTGCAAAAATATTTTATAAATTTAGCAGGAAAATGTATTGAATTTAACAAATATTAAAAAAAAAATTTACAAAAATGTTTATTAATTTGACAAACTATCGCCAACATTTAAACTTACCAGGAAAATGTATTGAATTTGACAAATATCAAAAAAATAAAATACAAAAATGTTTATTATTTTTACAAATTATCGACAAAATTTTTAAATTGTTGGTACATTCTGAAAAAAATATGTAAAAAGTAAAATAATGGAACTTAAAAATGAAATAAGTGTCATTTAAAATGTCACGCTTCTTCAGCCATACACGTTACATTGCTCAACTACATCAGTTACAACTTCAACCAGAAAGATTATTTATCGACAAAGAGACTTTTTCCTCTTTACCCCGTGTATTTGGCGAAAGACAAAGAAATGTGGACTACAGTCATACCAAAAAAAAAATGAAGATATCACTCGACTTATACGGCGAGCCGCAGTATTACCTCTCTTTCCACCGCACCTTGTTGCGGATGTTTGGCTTACATCTTTAGAAGACATTAATGAAGCTGAAAACATACCCGCTACAACATCATTTACTGATTACATGACAAGAGTTTGGGGTTGAAGGATACCGCTTTTCATGGAACCACTACTTCACCGAAGGACCCCGCACAACCAGCCACATGGAAGTATGGCACACCAAAATTAAGAAACTCAAACATCTATAAGATCATAGAGCTACTAAAGACCCAGGATCTAACAGAATGTACCATTATCCAGTATGCAGCAGGAGGAGCCCGCCCACAAAAAACACGGCGATACAGAGTTATAGACACCATATGCAGACTCCAACTACTGAAAGACAGATACCAACACGGACTCATCAATCTGACGTAGCATCCCATCTTCTTCATTTGAACTGAAAGACTTTGTGAAATATTGCAATTGTGACTTGTGAATATAATGTTTTGTGACTTTGTAAATATTATGTTTTGAGACTTTCGAAATACATATAAAATGTTGTATTTTTCATCATTATATATATAGTGCCCCATAATACTTATTTCTACCATAGTGCTTTATTCATTTCTGTATGCAATGCATGTATAGATTTGATTCATGAATTATGTAAATTATGTTTGCAATAAACGAAAAGTGTATAACAATTTGGTGTATTCACACAAAAAATGTTTATCATAATCATTTAGAAACTGCTGAATATTATTAAGACACTCTTATAAATGAATGCCATTGTCACATGTCAAATGAATCGAATGAATTGATATTACATCATTGAGAAACAAAATATTTGATTTATTTATCATTTATCTATACAAATAAAAATGGAACTACAAAATATAAGAGGTAGATCATGTGAATTATATGTAATACCATTCAGCAACAAAAATCTTACAAAGTGAGAAAAACCTATATTATACAAAGATCTTGTTGCATTAGCAACAGCATGTGTCCATTATTGTTCGACTGTTTCATTCAACACCACATTACTTCGTAGACACTCGGGCAATTGTGTGGAAGCTTCTCTGCATGCGGAGCGAGGCTGTGAATTTTTCCATCTGCAAACGAGATCGTCACTAATGTTATTTATACGACCCTCAATATCTTTTGCAATAACCTGGAAGTTGTTTACACATGCGCATCACGTTAATTGTCGCATAATCTTCATTATTTCGATACATTTTGATCTTCCTTTTTTAGCTCACCTGGCCCAAAGGGCCAAGTGAGCTTTTCTCATCACTTGGCGTCCGTCGTCCGTCGTCGTCGTCGTCCGTCGTCGTCCGTCGTCGTTAACTTTTACAAAAATCTTCTTCTCTGAAACTACTGGCCCAAATTAAAGCAAACTTGGCCACAATCATCATTGGGGTATCTAGTTTAAAAATGTGTCCGGTGATCCGGCCAACCAACCAAGATGGCCGCCATGGCTAAAAATAGAACATAGGGGTAAAATGTAGATTTTAGCTTATATCTCTGAAACCAAAGCATTTAGAGCAAATCTGACATTGTAAAATTGTTTATCAGGTCAAGATCTATCTGCCCTGAAATTTTCAGATGAATCTGACAACCCGTTGTTGGGTTGCTGTCCCTGAATTGGTAATTTTAAGGATATTTTGCCGTTTTTGGTTATTATCTTGAATATTATTATAGATAGAGATAAACTGTAAACAGCAATAATGTTCAGCAGAGTAAGATCTACAAATAAGTCGCATTACCAAAATTGTCAGTTTATCCATTTAGGAGTTATTGCCCTTTATAGTCAATTTTTTACAATTTTCGTAAATTTTTGTAATCTTTTACAAAAATCTTCTTCTCTGAAACTACTGAGACAAATTTAACCATACTTGGCCTTAATCATTATTAGTGTATTTAGTTTAAAAAATTTGTCCGATGACCCCGCCTTCCAACCATCATGGCCGACATGGTTAAAAATAGAACATAGATGTAAAATGCAGTTTTTGGTTTATATCTCTGAAACTAAAGCATTTAGAGCAAATCTGAGAGGTGGCAAAAATGTTCATCAGATTTAGATTTATCTGCCCTGAAATTTTCAGACGAATCCGACAACCCCTGAGTTAGGAATTTTACAGAAATTTTGCAGTTTTTTGTTAATATCTTAGATATCATTATAATATCTAATATCTAATACTATTAATTATGATTTTAACCTTATTTTACATGATTTCCTAAGCATCACATTGGCGTAGCTTACGTTGAGGCAACCGAGGCAGTTGCCTCGGTAAAAAATAATTAAAAAAAAATATCTACAATTAGGTCAACTCGACCAAAATGGTCAGTTGACCCCTTAAGGAGTTATTGCCCTTTATAGTCAATTTTTAACCATTTTTCGTAAATTTTTGTAATCTTTTACAAAAATCTTCTCCTCTGAAACTACTAGGACAAATTTAACCAAACTTGTCCACAATCATCATTAGGGTATCTAGTTTAAAAAATGTGTCCGATGACCCCGCCCGCGAACCAAGATGGCCGACATGGCTAAAAAATAGTACATAGGGTAAAATGCAGTTTTTGGCTCATATCTCTGAAACCAAAGCATTTAGAGCAAATCTGACATGGGGTAAA